CTCCACTCTGAAGGTATACGTGGCGGCCTTAGCTGCTTACCACGCCCTTCTGGGTGGTCAATCATTGGGAAGACACCCACTTATCACTCGTTTCCTCCGTGGCACCCTGAGGCTGTCGGCGGAAGGTCTGGGATCCTTGGGCGCTTTGAATGGCTAGGGAGCGCCCAAGAGGCCATATGACTGACAGGTAAAGCAACCAATTACGTTTCATTTTGTGCCACGTCATGTTTAGGAGCGTGGAAATGTCCCCACAATAACAGACTGTGTGTAAAACTCTTGGACGTATTTTAAAGATTCTATGCCGCAAACTTTAAATATTTCCCATACTTTTGAAAATCCAGCGTTTAGTTGATCCTGATAAGCGCTCATTATCACAGTTGTAAACACAACGGCTTTCTTCTAACATGAGGGGGTTTGGCGTCACGGTATATTTGTTTCCAGGCGGAACGTTGAAGAATGCGACCCGCACGTCTCCCTGAAATCCTGTCTAATTCAACCCCCGCCCTGTTTCGGAACAAAGCAATCGATCTACAGGTGTGAAAGCACCCTTAGAACCGGTGAATAGAAAGAGAATGATGTTCGCCAAATGAGTCGCTGTAGAAATCGAATACTTTAATGGTTGAGAACGAAACACGAGAGCTAACGCAAACGCAATGACATGTGAAATAAAACGTCATCGTGTTTTAAAGTGTGGCTTGATTAAACGGTGGAAACAGCGGATGATGGGCACAGAACAGTAACAAAACTTAGAGACATTTACAGTTACACACAGGTGTAGTAGTGTGCAAACTCTACTACATGGCTTTTGAAAATCCAGCATTTAGTTGATCCTGATAAGCGCTCATTATCACAGTTGTAAACACAACGGCTTTCTTCTAACATGAGGGGGTTTGGCGTCACGGTATATTTGTTTCCAGGCGGAACGTTGAAGAATGCGACCCGCACGTCTCCCTGAAATCCTGTCTAATTCAACCCCCGGAAACTCCCGAAGTGTTTCCAATTTTGTGTGCCGTATGCATCAGACGTTCAGCGGCGTGACGTTGGAGGCTGAGACTAGCCAATAGTGATTCTATTGCCAAGGTGTACGTAGAGGGTTGTAATATTAAAAATGTTTCTTATCTTGAGCAAATGTGGACCCCTATTTGCTTGGATGCTATTTCATATTGATACAATCTAGTGGTAATAAAAACATTTTCAAAACAGTTCTCTTTCAAAACACAACTGGGCAGACTGTTGTTTTGCTCTTTTCTATTTTTATAATAAATAACATGCTATATAACTCTGCTCATTCTGTAGAGCCAAATACAACCACAAAATATCATCATGCCAGTATCTGCTACAAGCTAAAAGTTTATGGTAATTTGAGCAGATCAACTGCACAACTATAATTGCATACCACTGTAACTTCTAGGTGGGCAAATGTCATGTGGCTGGTGCTCACAATACCGTTCCACTACATTCAGACCCTTTGTTCACAAACAGAATGAGATCACAGTGCAGCACAACAGCACTAAACAAGCCATGATGCTTTATGAAAGCAGAGGATGACTGCAGACTATTTGAAAAATCATAAAGAGAGTTTTGTGGATTTTATTCCATGTCTGTTAACTTTGAGGTCATCTACCTACTTACTATTGTGCAAAACTATTACTATTGTACTGACTATTGTGCTGAAAAACACTTTACATATATATGCATTTAAAATTTACAATCATTCTCTTTCCGGAAAATGAATCAAAAGTAATGACTACTCTTCACCACAGTGGTAACCCTACAAAACATTAACATAACTGAAACCCCTGTAAACCCCAACATAGCAGAATTTTAAACCTTCCTATAACATCTCTTCCTATATTCATCTTGTGCAAAAACACACAAAATAACACTTCATCTCAACATTTATTCTCCTTCTACAGTCTGACACAAAGCATGCTGGGAACTAGAAATCTGCTGCAACTCAGTCAGTTTAAGTTCAGTTTACTACAATCAGATTTTGAGTTCACGTATACTTTCTTCTATTAAGTACAATTAACTTTCAGTAGGTCATACATGATAGTGCAGACATACATAGGAATTACACAGTAGAGATGAAATAATAACACTAATATAAGAAAAACAGAAAATTAAATAATGCAATAAGAAATTTAAATAATGCAATACAGTACTATTTGAGTGAAACAAACTCATTTTATTAAATTAATTTAAACTGTTGGTTTTACAGTGCAGAGAAAAAACGATGATCCATGTCAACACAGAAAAGACAACAGTGCTTGTTGAATGTTTTCATGGGGGCTTTAACAAAACCATAAACATAAACAATACAAAAAAGTTTTAATTTAAGTCAGTTGGAAAAGTGAGAAACAAAGCCTTTTATCCCGCATAAATCTAAGCAGAGAGAAAACTTATATTTAATATATCAAAAAATATTGATAGGACATTCGTAGATACTGAAAGGTTCTTTGTTTGGCACTGCTCTGAAAACCCGCTTTTTGGAACCTTTATTTTTAAGAGTGTAATAGTGAGAGACTTTGCTGATGTCACATTGGAATGATATAATGGTCCCTCAAAGGATGATGGGATGAGACCAATGCTTATCACCTGAATAGGGAATTAAGATGAAACACCATCGCTCCATCACTTAATTTGAGAAGCAGAAAAAGGGACAGAAATAGCCCTGGAGCGCTCCTCCCCTGCTCCGATGATCAAAAGCAGACTGTTTATGTCTGGCCTGACTGTCACCTCGGTATGCCATCCCCTTTTCATTTTTCAATTTTTTTAAAAAAGGAGAGTAATCATGAATTTGCTCTAAAAAACCTTTTTAGGTAAGTCGTTTCAATCAGAGCACATGAGCTGACCCTTAAGCCTCTGGCTTGTTGAGATTCTGCAGTTGAAGGACACTGAGAGATTAGATCACACACTCTGACTTTAGACAAAAAAGGAAAAGAAGAAGACTAAATGATAAGACGGTCCTTACTGTGATCATTTCAGAATGGTAAGCTGGCCGTCTTGTGCATACTGTAATCAGTGTTTAGGAAACGCGTAGGAGTGTCAACATGAGGCGACTTCTGCAGTTCCTAGAACAGAGTGCTAAAGGTATCAGAGAAGAACCGCACCAAGATGCTTCTTGCACTTGCACAAAACAGCACAGTATCAGAAAAACCCACAAAGTGTTGTGAATTCACATGGTAAAAGACAATATGTTTGAAAAGGCAAGAGAAATGCAACTGGGCGAGGAAAATATATATAGGTCTACAGGGCTGCGTAAGGTGTCTGTTCTTTCTCTCTGGCTTTCTCTAGAGCTGTCGCTCTTTCTGAGGGGACTTTCCCCTTTGCTGTTAGAGATGGAGGCATTGCCTTGTGCCAGCAGAGTGTATGCTTTCACTTCCTGTCCCTATCTTATTGTCCTCTTTGTTTGAAGATATGAGCAAACACTGTAATGAATAGAGATCGACCGATATATCGACTTACCGATATTTTTCCCGATATTTAAGCATTTTACCATAATC